GGATTTAAACCCTGGCTGTCACTCCAGAGTCCAAACTCTACTGCTTCACAAACTGCCTCCCTTTAGTATGACCCCACTTATACCACACAGCCTAGTTTACCAGCTCTCAACTCTAGCCACTCACTCTGAACGCCTTGCAGGTGATCTCATCTAGTCTCCCCACACTGAGGCAGAAATTAATCACTCCAGCCTGGACGCAGCCACCAGGCTGTACTCCCTGCAACTCCTAGGGGCAGCAGAGCAGCCCTTTGTGGTTACTGACCTGGTCCTGGGACAAGCCAGTCAGTCACAGCTTGTTCCCTAAAGCTATGGTCTCCTTGGGTGCCAGGGCTCCAGGTATATTTTGCACAGTTACTGGTGCTTTGGATATTGTCAACGTGTAGTTAAAATTTTTCATATTGTTTTCTACATTTTCTGACATTTAAGGAATGTATCCTGTGTCACCTGTATTATTTCACCTTAGATGAAAAATTAATCTTCCTAAATAACAATGGCTTGAGCTCCCACTCTGCATCCAATAGGAAACAGCTCAGCCCTTCCTCCTGTTGCCTTCCAATACCTCCAGGGAGTCTTGAGAGCCTGAACTTCTTCTGGTCACCCCAGCTCTAATTTCCTGCTTCTGCTCATCTCCCCGTCTCTCACCTCCTGTGGCTAGTACTTTTCCATCTCTGTGCAATTCCAAAAATGGAACACACCCCATTTCCTTTCATACTCTTGAGCAACCACAAAATCAAGGCCATTCTGAGTCACAGACTTTTAGTGACAGTTCGGAGGTAAATAAGAATTTTTGTCAACACTACATAATGAAAGCACTTGCCATTTGGCATTAATACTGGGTCCCTGATCACCCTTTCAATTTGCATCACTGAGAGCCTCTGGCCTCTACTTTTCACTCTCACCCTCAGGACTCATTTTTCCATATTCTTCCTTTCCAGATTCTTTGGACATCTCTTCTCTCCTCAAATTAGTCTGAACTCTTGAGCTTTAGTCCCCAACCCACCCCATACCCATCCTTCAAATACCTCCCCTTTTATTTTGTCAAGCAATTCATCTCCCTCTTACTCTCCTCCTAATCCATGCAGACCAGAGCCTGAGACTTCATCTCTCAAACTCAAAGTAGCTTACAGAGGTAGTTTCCTAAACATTGGGTTCTCTGCTTAGGAGAGAAATTAGCTATCAAGTGCCCTCAGCCCTCAGCCCCAAGCCCCAGAAGGTAGACTTGACTGCAGGTGCCAGGGGAGCTCCTCCTCCCCTTCCCCTTCCTCTCCTCCTCTCTTTCCTGTAATCCTGAGTTTTCCTGGTTAGCTGCATCTCAAGAAATGATCATGCTTCACGACAACAACATCCGTAGTCAGAAATATTTCTGTTAGAACCTTTGGAATTTGTGAGACTAGAGGTCCTCTGAAATCTAGAGCACTCTGCTGTACGAGACGCTGGCAAGATATCTAACAGCAATACTGACCACAGGTTCCCTTGCAGAGTGAAATATTTTCTTTGCATCCTAACACTGGAATGTTCTGGGACTTACTTCTCCTCCAAACCGTCAATTGTACTCAGAGGAGAGAAAAAAATCACCCCAGTGATTGGATCTGTGCAATGGCACCTAATGCTTTCTGTCACCTAACAAAGTATATTAGAATTGGGGAGTTATAGCATATGGTAAGATGTGTGAATGACTGATATTTTTATAAGCCATTTCATGGTACTTTCTCTCCTTGTTAAGGATCAGGGACTGTATCGATCTGATGTTTATGACCTTCTTCCTGGGGTCTATCGAACTGTAAAAATGTATCCAAGAGATGTTGGAACCTGGTTATTTCATTGCCATGTTGGTGAGCACGTTGATGATGGAATGGAAAGCACTTACACTGTACTTGAAAGAAAAAGTAAGTAAGAGCTATTAGTCAAATTAATTAGACGTGATCATATTTAAATAAATGCAGCGTATATATAAAGATATTTGATCCACATTTACATAATGTGACACACCACTCATTCATTGAAAGATTACTGCTTTGAGATGACCAAGATACTTTAGTTTTATTTTCTTTATACAAATTAGGTAACTGTTTATGATCTGATAAAAGTTACTCTAGAGTTAAATGCATATATGCATAAGAGGTTTAAATAGACAATTCATAGAGGAAATACAAATGTTGTCTGAACGTATAAAAATATCCAACCTTGCTAATTATCAAGTCACTTAAAAACCACATGGAAACAACAATAAGATAACTTTTTGAGTATGTTGTGGCAAATATTTATTTTATTAATGATAGTATCAATAACAGTGTGGTGAGATTGGGTGCATTGCATATCCTTTGGCAGGAGTATAAACTGGTTCCACAGATCTTGAAAGAATTTAAATAATGATCCTAATATTTTTGACTCAGTAACTCCACCTGGCAGCTGATCTTAGAAAATTACCAACGATGCAGGAAAAGATTATCACCGCATTATTTTATGCTAATGGAAAATTGAAAGCAAGTGAATGATTTACTGTAAATTTTGCTACATTTATCATCTAAAGTATTATCCAAATTTAAAAATCGTACCTTAAAATTTTTAATGAGAAAATGCTAATAATACCATATTGAGTGATTACAAAAAGCAGCCTACAAAATATTATAGTATCTGAAATATATATATAGACTGAATAGAAATTTACTGAAATATTAATGGTGACTTTCTCTAGGCAGTGCAATTATGAGTGAGGTTTATTTTATTTTTATGGTTTTCTGTTTCTTCCAAGGTTTCTGTCGAGTTTAAATTTCTTATAAAATTAGGGAAACTATTGAACAAATGTATCCTACACTATTTAAAATATGCTACGCAGTTCTCGAGTTATGTAGATATTTTCTCTGTGGGGCTCCTTGCGGGGATGATGGAGTAAAGCGACTGAAACAGGAGAGGAGAATCGTGTGAACAGCTCCTCAGAATCTTCTCTGGAGATAAAAACTACGTTCCTCACAAAATTACAAACTGATTAGCCCCAAATATGATTTTTACCCATAACATCCTATTAATACCAATAATAATATCATTATTAATACAATTATAATAATCATCGCTCTTATTCCTATCATTGTTCATGCACATTCCTAGTTAAAAAAGATTTTGGTGCGCTTTCTAGGAAATAGATTCCCCACTTATAACATTGTTTCTTTGGGAAACTAGATCCAGCTTTTCAAATAAGATAAAGCTAAACAGGTCATCTGTTGTCCCCATAAAAGGGTGAAAGTGATGTTGCTGTTAACTTAATATGTAAACTTTTTGTGTCAAAAGTGATGGTAGTCATTTTAAGGATGTTCTTACGACATATAAATTTTGAATTTATTTCTTAAATGTATGTAATCATTTTAGTTTCATATTCTAACTTAGAACTGCATGCTATTATATAATATCAAATTAACTTTTGAAACTTTCTTTTCTACAGAATAAATATCTCCCTTATATGGATATTGACAAATCCACAAGCAGAGATAAGCTACCAAAGAAAGAGAACCCAGGAATGAAGGAGTCCAGGAGGGACCAGCTAAAGACTTCTACAGCAATGTACCAGGAAAACTAATTTGAAATAAAAGTTTTCCTAGTAAGTTTTGTGTGTGAGCTGCTTCCTAGTGATGTCTGTACTGTCCCTGTGGTGGTATAACAAGGCTTTAACAAATGGCAGTGGGGTCAGGCAAGAGGGACAAAGAGAGCAAGACCAAATTGAAGTCTTGCCCAATTAGAAAAAAAAACAACCAAGAGTACACAATCCAAGACTTTACCATAAGCTGCAACATTTGTAAACATTTAAAAAACAAATTTCTGATAGTATGGGTAAACATTTAAATTCGTCTTTGAAATGTAAATCATAATTATACTGTGTCTTAGGATTGGCAGACTGCAGGTGACAGAATTGCCAGTTTTCCAGAACCAAAAATAGCAACTCATGCTCTGACCTTGTATCTGGCAATACTAACAGTTACAAAGTGTTCTAAGTAACAGAAAACCCAGCTAAGAGAGAATTATCAATGCCGTTTATCTCACACAACAAGAAAAAGTTTGGAGGTAGGTGGCTGCTAGGGTTGGTTCAGCAACTTGATGATATGAGGACCAGTGTCTCTAATTCCCTTGGCCTTTCCCTCATGATTGTTGTCTCATGGTCACAAGATGGTTGCTGCAGCTCCAAATATTACATCAATATTGAAGGCAGAGAAGATAGAGAAAGGGATAGCACCAATCACATCTTCCCCTTTTACTAGGAGAGTAAAAAGACTTCTGAGGACCCCTCAATGAATTTCTGCCTATGTTTC